GGGATGCCCCTTGGACCCAGTGGAGGTAGTGGGTGACAGGAGGATGAGGGCTAAGCTATCATCCCTGTTGGACAACAACTCCAACCCCATTCAAGACACTCTGACAACACTGAGCAGCTTCTTCAGTAACAGGCTGCTGCACCCATGGTGTGTGAAGGCGAGATACTGCAGTTCTTTCCGTCCTGCTGCTTTACAACAAACACTGCATTCAGTGACATCACACAACATAGACAGACAATCCACCATGTGCAATACAAGTCATCTGCTGCTACTTTTTGTATTCTCTATCTTGTATATTTAGTATTTAATTGTACATATTATATTTTTATTTTATTATGTACCTGCAGTGCAGTAGCATTGAAGGCATATGTTATTATTCTGAATACTTATTAGTGTGAATGCTGAAGCATTGTTATTCAAGTCTTTATATTTTAATATTATTGGTGGGATTGCTGAATGAAGCTATTTGTTTTTGATTTATTGCAGTTTACGTTTGATGCTTTTTTTCATTTTTGAGTTTATAATGGGTGTGTATTGCGTAGAATTTTCATGGCTAGACTGGGTGACATCACCGCTACAGTGGGAAACACTACTCAAAAACAAAACTTAAACTCATCTTCCAGGCCACAAATTTAACTCTATGCTCATGATTATTTCCTACCACCTAGACTCGTCAGCTTTCAGACAGTGTGACTAACAAAGCACAGAGACTCACAGAATTTGAATTGTGCCCTTTCAAAGTGGCAGGGTAACATCTAACTGCCCCATTCACTGTAATGTTTAATGAGAGCAGAAAATCAGGAGGAAACAGGAAAGGCATAGGCCACATTTTTGGCATCAAAGACAAGCATTTTATATGACAGTGATCAGCAAAGTCTCCTCTCACAAAATCGAAATGTTTGTGTGATCAGTTACAATATTTCACTGACAAGCCTCAGTTTGACAGGTATGTTTCAACAGAGTCTCTGTCCCACTCAGTAAAACTTAAGCAGTTAAAATCATCAGGGCAACCTCTGAGTGCAGGGAGGGGGCACACAGGTGGATCAAATTACCTTATTAAAGACTCCTCTGATATCTGTCGTCTGTAATCTCATTTGGTTTCAATGGAAATATGTTTCAGTCCAGTTTTAATCAGGAAGCATTCAGCAGTTAGTCAGTTCTAACTGACACAGAAACACACATAAATACAGACAAGCAGAGAGGTAGACAGACAGAAAGACAGGCAGACAGAAACAGACAGGTAGAGAGGTGTGTCTCTGCTGAGTCCAGGTCTCAGTCAGTAGGAATTGAGCACTTAGGGCCTGATTTACTAAGATCCCAAATAAAGAGCGCTAAATTGCGTGCGCACACGGATAGATTGCGCGCACTGCCTGTTTGGGCCTTGCGAGTGATTTACTTAGATTAGAACAGCGCAGTTGACTACAGGCGCAAAAGTGATCGAGCCGGCCCTATCTAAATGAGGATTTTGCGCGAGTTAAGGGTGTTCACCGTGGCGAATGCAAACGAGCAGATCCAATTGGAATTGGAGGTGCTGGTACAAGAGGCAAACAAGCACATTTCTGAGTTATAGCAAAGGAATTTAACCTTTATTAGGAGGAACGCAATATGGGAGGCAATCTGTGACAAGGTTAATGCTGAGGGGGAAACCAAAAGAACACCGGATGAAATGAAGAAAAGGTGGCAAGACAGTCGTAGAAGAACAAAGGAAAAAATCGCACAGAATAACAAATCGGCAAATAAAACAGGTGGGGGACCGGCGGAGGAGGACCCTCTGTCTCCCATTGAATAGCAGGTGCAGCTGACGTTCTGTGATGAGCAGATTACTGGGATAGAGGGAATATTTTTAAATTATTCAGGTACACCACATAAGACATGAACGTGCGTCATGAACGTTCTTTAGCTGTGCAATGGAAAAGCATAATTGCCAAAAGGGTTTTTTTGTTTGTGCGTTCCAGCAGGGGCGCAGAAGTGTGTGCGTTTTCATTTGTTTTAAGTTTCAGGAAAAAATTACAGGAACTGGGCCGAACTAAATGTTTCCTATGTCTAAAAGAAAGTGGGCTTTAGTACATAAAAATGTGAGTTTTTGGTTTTGTCAAAATAGCGGCACGGCTGTGCCAAGTAGCCTAAGACTTGACTCTCAAACGTGCTAAATATATTCGCAAAAATAATCAGCGCAATTAGTTTGAGGTTTGGTAAATCACATTGCGTGCGCAAAATGATTCTATTTGCATCTACTCCTCCCAATATTTTGCGCGTTCTGGCAGGCACGCCTATATTGCATATTCATGAAGGCAGAAGCGCAAATGGATAGCGCGTGTTATTTTGCCCGACTGACAGATGGAAGCCTCGGTGTGCCCGGTTGGTAGATCAGCATCAACATGTGTTTGCGCGTGCTGTCGCGTTTGTGCACGTTTTTACACACGCAAAGCTTTAGTAAATCAGGCCCTTGGGATCACCATGGCAAAATCTGAGTGCAGACGGACAGACAGAGCTGATTCAGATCAGCTAATAAGATAAATTCTGTGATGTCTGTAGTGTTATCAAACATTTGACTGACATTTGGCAGTTTTTATGCCTTCAGGATGTCCATCCATCCATAAGGACAAACGTCCCATTGTCGTGGACACAATATCTTAGTAACGCCTAAACATAACTTGTTCAAATTTGCCACAATTTAGTTATTAAGTTAAGTTAGATTTTGGGGATCAAAGGTCAAGGTCACAGTGACCTCACAAATCATTATTTTGGCCTCGTGAACGCAATATTCAAGAGAATCCCTTCAGATTTTGCAGAAATATCCACTTGTTCTCACGTATGAAGTGATTAGACTATGGTGGTCAAAACTCAAAAGTCAAGGTCACGTTGACCTCAGAATACACTAGTAAGCCAATTACCCAAGGCTAACACCATTTGAAATATTAGTTGCTGGCATTATGCTGGCTATTTAAAGATTATTCAACTTTTCAATATCTTATACAGTCTTTCATTTATCACAGTTTTAGTTTCTAAGCTTTTTTTCTGGTCATTTTTTAGTTTAAAATGGGTGTGTAATGCATGAAATGTTCGCGGCTGGAGTGGATGACATCTTTGCTAGAGTGGGAGAAGCTCTAAAATTTGTCCAAAAAGAATCTGTTTCACTTGTACTTACTGCCACAAAAAATTTCATCTTCACACATAATTTCCTTCTCATTTGTAGACAAATTGGTCCTGTTTCATACAAAACATATCTAACCCATCTATATCTAACCCAATTTGAAATGTGACCCTCCAAGTGATACGAGCACCCTTCAACTCTCCCATAGACCGCAATATAAATTCAGGAGTGGACTTCAGGTGAAAATCAGAACTGACCCTTTTTTGTAACTCATTCCTATTTCCACATTTCACACAGACACATACACACACACATACACGCACAAACCCGAGACAAATACACACACAAACACACACACACAATCACACAAAGACACACACGAGACTCCATCTCTGATTCAGGAATCTGGTGAGGACAGTGGGGATCAGTATGAACTCCATTATGAACCACCCCAGGCCCCCACAATGCCAGCAGAAGCAATTAAGATCTTGGATGAACCAGAAATGGAGGTTGAACACCAGTTCTCACCAGCGGAAGAGAAAGAGTTAAAACACCAGTTTTTGTTGCACCACCAGAACAGCCCCCTGGAGGAGATCAGCTGGGGTAGTTCAATGTTACTGCTAAAAACATGCCTGGTGAGGAAGTAGACTTACCTGCTCAAGATTTGCCCAGCGAGAATTCACCACATGCTTTTCCATCATCACATGCTGCTGCTGAACCTGAGAGGCCGCCTTACCAGTTGCCACAGAGGGGGAGACACCCGCCAAGACGCATGACCTACATTCAGCTGGCCATCCCTTCCTGCTACAGTATTCAGCCAGCACCTCAAATGTTACCTGTTTACCAAGCACCAGGACTGGTCCCATGGCTGCCACCCCTACAGACATACTACTTCCAGCCCTCCTTTTTGTATTGACTCCAGCAAGCCTGAGCCAACAGACTGTTGCCATGGGAAATTCATGGACTTTTGAAAGACTGATTATGGACTGTTTCTGCAGCGGCCAGTCAGCAGATTTGGACTGTGGCCTTGTGATTATGGACTGTGACCTTTGACCTTTGTTTGAGCACAAGCTCATAGAAAATTTTCAGTGTCAAGTCCATGAGAGACTGAAAAAAAAAGAAAATTGTGTAATTGATTTAATATTGGAACGACATTTATTTTCATGCTTATTTTTGGGAATTGAGCCATAGCAGTGTTATCTGTGATACATAGAAAGGTCTTGATCTGTTAGATGACAATTGAATTGAATGTCCCAGTCTATGTTGTCTGGCGGGAAAGTCTGCAGTTCCTGTTGTTGTGTTGTTGTCGGTAATAAACGGATGACAGAAAAAAATTGCACTCGTGATTTTTTAAATCACTTTTCTGCCCCTCTTCGGACAGGTGTTACATTAGCAAAATAAAATAAACAGTTTTTACTCTTTACTCTTAAACCTCTTAAAGCTGAAATGGTTACTTTTTTACATGAACATATCATTATCCTCTTCATACTGCCTGCCTACAACATCATGTGAAACAATGTCATGCACATACCATCATTTGATTGTCCTACATAAACATGAATTACCAGATCCTACAATACATCCAAGGGCATTTTCTGTTGAGTTGTATGTTAATGTAAAAAAGTGAGAGTGTATTGACAGAGAAGTCAAGTAAACACAGCAGTCTAGGACAGAAGTATAAGTGTAAGAAGAGAAACTGTGAGATTTGTGGGAGCAGTGGGGTTTAGTATTCTCACCATCTTCAAACCTGCTCATGTATCCATCACAAAACAAAGATTGTTAACCAGAAATTGTTAGCAAGCACACTTTCTTGTTGTCAAGATTCAGACTTAAAACACATGGATTTATTGCACTTATAAATGTCCTTCAAACTAACCCACAACTTCCTTCTTCTTATGTTTTGCAGTTATGGGAGCGTTATACATGAGCCAGAGGCGGCAAAAAGAGAAAGAGACTCTGATGACATCAAAAGAGGACATTCGTGATAATGTCATTCACTATGATGATGAGGGCGGCGGCGAAGCAGACACTCATGCCTTTGACATGGGCACTCTGTGCAACACACAATCACAGCACACCTGCACTCACACCAGCACCTCCAAGAAGGAGAAGAACGGCTATGGTGAAGGGGTTCTGCTGCATCTCACCAGTCGCTGTGAGGATGTCAGGTCACCTGACATCCATCGTCAAACAGCCAGTGTTATTGTTGCTGTTAACAACAAGGCACAGCTCTCTTCCCATGGCAGAGTGACTGAGGGTGACGCTGAAATGATTAGGGAGTTCATTGAACACCGGCTGGAGGAGAGCCAACAGGGTTATGCCGCTCCGCCCTATGATTCTCTTGCAACTTATGCCTATGAGGGTGATGGCTCTGTGGCTGGCTCACTCAGCTCGATAGAGGAGTCATGGACAATTGACAATTCAGAAGATTTTAGCTCCCTTGGTGACTGGGGAAAGCCATTCCAAACATTGGCTAGTATTCTGGACAGACAGCCACCTTCTATGTCTAAGGAGAGCTGAGAGGAAGTTGAACAATAGAGATGCTGGGCAGCGATTTGGCAACTAGCTTACTTTTTTAGACATGTTTTTTTACTGTGCCAGGCACTGGCTAGAATGCTATGAGGACGTTATGGAAAGTTGTCTATGTGAGCTAGAGTTGTGGGCCAGTTAGCTAGAGAAAAGAGAATCTATCAAAAGGTGCGTGAAAAGGTAAATTTGATATCTCTTCAAAGTGCCTGAGGTACTATATGTTTACAGGTATTTTAATTAATTAATGTTACTTAATAAAAACATCTTCAACCAATGTTTTGATTTCAATCCTTATGTTTCATGAAATCATTAGTGATTTAACCAGAAAATGAAATGCTGTTTATGAAACTATGTTTAGGGCACATAGACTGAGACAATGTCTGTTGATCACTGGGCCTGTTGGTAGGTCAGCCACCATGGTCCAGAGTAGAATATCTTAACAAATATTGGACACTTGGCACATTTAGTGATGAATTCAGTTGAATATTCTTGGATGAGGTTTGATATTGTCATGAAGTTTACTAATGCTGGGGAACTTTTAGTCAGTTTCACAGTCATTCATGAGTATACTAGTACTAATCAGTAACTCAGAACAATAAACTGCTAACATTACCTAGAAGTCCCTTCTTCACTGTAACACATATGTTTCACTGCAGTGCCCTCTAGTGGCTAACATAAACACAGCTCTATCTGAATCACATAATATCACAGATATTAGATATTTATTTATTTTACTGTCTTTACACTGGCACTGTGAACCATTCTGTTTACACCTCATTTTAATCTCCAGAAAAGATTTTGAAATGTCAACCACCAAACAAAGCTGGACAAAACAATGGTCACATGTAGTGAACTGTTCCTTTTTGAGAAACTATGTTTAGGGCACATAGACTGAGACAATGTCTGTTGATCACTGGGCCCCAAGTATTTGCCTGGGTTGTTCATTCTTAATGTTCCTTTGTAAGAATGAATTTTAAACCTGTGTTGTTTAATATAATTTTTGCATAAACCCCTATAAATTAAATTCATCATTGGCTAAAGGTTTTGAAACCAAAACTCTATGCATGTTTTCGGATCTTTGATCCTAGCTTTGCTATGCAAAGATTCATGTGGATTTTGATGTGAACAATCAAGGGTCATTCCTCAGTACATGCAGAAATTTAGTAATGATTGATTGAACTGGACATGGCTTATTACCAAAAAATCTAAAAAATCTAAATAGAGCACACATATATGTCCTACAGAGCTCAATTTTTTTCAGCAAATCTACTGAATTGTGACGAAAGATTGCCTCAGTGCTATGGTCAATTCAAGTCCATCACTCTATATTTTCCAAAATATGCAACATCAATTAACATCATAACTCTTCATTGAAATGCTACCAAAATTGACACAGAGATTCTGTAGATGGTAGATATCAAATGTTTCAAATGGTGATCAGATCAAACAGGGAGTCTGCAGCAAAATTCAATACCAAAGTTTATTCAATACCAAACTGTATGCTCAACCTTTTCCATTTCATTTTCATTTTAATTATATAACATTTGACAACAACACTTTGTTGTGTGATTTCAATAGTTAAATTGTTGTAATTTTTTGTGATATCCAAATTTATTTATTTATTATTTTTCCACCAGCAAAAGTTGTAGTAAATGGTAATTTTTTCAGGAGAGATATAGAGTGGTGCACAAACATGACACATGTCCACCAGCAGGTGGTGCTATTAATCAAGATAAGGGCATATTGGGCAGTAACTCCCATATTGTATATTGCAATTTTAAAAACCTGACATGTTTGCATTCCCTGACTGTATCTTAATCTCATTATATAGGCCACGCCCATCAGATTCTGCTTGTGCTTCTTGTCCCAACCAGCTCCTTGGTGCCATCAGCATTGAGCAATTACTATATATGTTTATACTATAATGACTACTGTGGAAATGGAAAAAAGTACAGAAGTAAGAGCTAAGTGATATTAAAACTAAATTATCTAAATTATATTGTATATTTAAAAAAGACTCATCCTGTAGCTATCCTTTGTTTTCCTTCAGATGAAGAGAGTGTGTTAAAATACACATGTAGAAAGTGTCATGGTTTGAGGGCACTTCTGTAAGTATGTTCATGCTACGCTGTGAGGTCCTATTGAAGTCAAATGATGTGCACTACATATGTGAATGCTCTCCTGGCACTCTGCTTCCAGTGTCTTTTAGAATTTTCAGGTCAGATTTTTAAACCTACCTCACAGTAGAACCACCTCTGTGATGACAGCACTTCTATCTATCTATCTACCTATTTCTACCTTTTTAAAATAAAATTTACCTTATCTCTGAAATACAAAGTTTTAAAGTCAGTTGCCCTGCTGCTTCTTGGCTCCACATAAACTATATGTTGATATATGTGGACTGAACAATCACCATGAAAAATGAAGCCAATTTAAACTGAGCTAGCTGATTCAACTAGCCTTTTTTTCTTTGACTGTGCTTGCTTAAATACTGTTTTCTTTTCTTTCATCTTTCTCATATCATACCATTCTTTCTTTCTTCCTTCATCCATCTCATTAACATCCTACCTACACCTTCCTCCCTTGATCTCCTTCACCCTGCAGACAGTGCTGCCACTGTAATATCTTGTCAGTGTGACAGATATCAGGGGTCTTCATGGTTCTTCCTGTTGGTGGTGGTGGCTGATGGCGGTAAGCAGCACCACCACACTCTCCCTAGGGGTGTGTGTGTGTCAGAGCAACACTAGGGGGCGGAACAGCAACATTTGTCTGGTCCAGGCCTTCCTGTTTTCACCTGGTCTTCATTGGGGCCTTTGTTGCCATCTTGCTGTGTATTGTCATATTATTAGGTAAGTACAGGGGTGTAAATGTCATGTATCACACACTGCATGCACAACTTCATGTTCAGGGACTTGAAGACAGTAACAGACTAGTGCCCTCTTATAGCCATCAGATCATGCACTGGATTTTTAAAGCTCTACTGCACTGTTCTGAGGGCGAGAAATGAATCACATGTTTTATCAGGTATTATGAAGTGTGTGTATTTTTAATCCATGTTATTTTGTATTTAATTGTTTTACAGATTTCAGAAGTTCCTGGTTTTCTCTCTTACTCTCTTTATTTACACTTTTCCCTTTTTCATTCTCATTTCCCTTCAGCTATAGTGATTCTGTTCACACAGCTACAAATTAAAAAGGCAAGCAAAGAGAACTTGATTCTCTCTGAAGAGTACATCTGAGAGAATGTGGTGAGCTAGGACAACATAGGAGGCAGTGAGGAGGAGGATACTGAGGCTAGACATTAACCCTAACCCAAAAGCCTCTAAGCCTCACGGGAAATTCCACACCCACTATAGCTGTGCACCAAGTATATCTAGAGAGAAGGATGAGGTTGAGGATGAGGATGACGAGGAAAGGACTGCAGTGATGATGAGGAGAAAAATTCAGCAGGTAGATGTGCCCGACCTAAGTTATGGAGGACTGGAAACCAGAGAGGAAAAGTGATGTTGCCACGTTCCAAGATCTCAGCTGTCAAAATACAACATTCTGGGGAGATGTTGTTTTACTTGATGTCATTTAATTGTGCTTCATCATGGTTCATCCCCAGTCTTAGGATGATGGAGGTTCAGTGGGCAGCAGTTACCAAAGGGTTGTAGAAGCAGGCAGACAAATATATACACCTATACTCAGAACTGTGGTAGTTCCAATACAGTATGCATCTTCACGACCACATTCTGCCATGATGACACAGACAAACGCACACACATACTTGTGCTTCCATTTTTGTGAGGACATTCATTAACATAATGCATTCCCTAGACCCTTCCCTAACCTTAACCATCAATACTAGCCACCACAGCCTAAAACTAACCTAAACCTAATTCTAACCCTAAAACCAAGTATAAACAGCCCTTTGAGGGTGTGTCAGAGAGTGACCACCTGCCAAAATCTCACTCTGTTTTGAAAATACACATATACACAGACTCAAAAGGTAACTACAGTTTAGCAAGCTGTAATAATAAACAAGCCCGCACTTTAAGCAGAAGCAAAAAGAATCCCAGAGCTACAAGTTAGAATGTAATTTGTTCATTCACAATGAGCTTGTTTTTACACAGTGATGAACAGCATCTGAAAGAGCACAAATCCCCTCAACCTGGACCAACTTTCCAGAGGTTGTGTTTGCCATTTCTCAGAATTTCCAGCAGAACATCATGTGGTTAGTCTGTAAAAGTCCTGAAAGTTGGTAGTGTATAAAAAGAAAAATAATTATCTAATGGCAGAAATTCATTATAAAAACTCTGGAGCTAAGGGATATGTGTGTGTTAAACAAAATTATAAGGTTATCAACTTTTCTGCAGCATGCGGTTGTTTCATTGCATGCTACATGCTGATGAGTTACTACAGTTTATCAGGAGATTCAAGGTCATGCAGACTGAACAGTCGATTTTTGGGAAGTGTTTGTTTAGTGCAACTTAGTGATTATCATCCAGTTTCTATACTCTCTTGACCTTGTTTATCTGTCTTCCTCTGTCTGTGTCTTTCTTTCTTGTGGCCTTCATCCACACCTGTTTAAGTTAATTCTAGGCTATTAAGGCCATATATGCCTCTGACTCCTGCCAACACAGAAGTGATCAAACCTGGATAAACCATTTCCATTTCAGACAGGCCAGCTAGTACTTGATATCAGTATCTGGATTTATAACCCAATATAAATAAAGTGCCTGGGGACGTGTTACTGTTACGTGTTACGTGTTACTGTAATAACCACTGTAGGTCACCCAGCATGATGACGCAGGAGCGCTTTTAACTGCCCAGTGTCGTGGGACAATGGACTCAGAAATGGTTAGTCTGTTTTGTCTTACCACTGCCATTGCCTATACCACTACATGTCCTTAATAACCTTAAAGCTACTACATATTTGTAGTTACATGAGTCGAGAGCCATGTAAGTACAAATAATGACTGCAGTGCTGGTTGGTCACTAGTGTGGCAGTCTCTGTTGGAAGATATGAAAGTGAAAAAATAAATCCACAAAGAAACTCAGTGGTTCCTCTCAATACAGCATTTCTTTTACTTTCATCTCATTGTTTTTGTTTTAAGGCCCATAACATGAGCATTTTGGTTACTTCTCAGTGCTGTAATTAGTGTCCTTTCAAGCAGCAGTAGACATTAGTTTCAGTGAAAAATTAGAATCACTTCTTCCTGGTTGCTTCCTCCACCAA